CCAATTGGGGTTGTGGAGTGCTAATTTTTCCTTTCCTACATATTCTCTGCGTCCTCTTGCCTTCCTCTTCCTTCCTTTGTCCTTGTTTGTTTCATTGGCCGAAATTGCATTTTGTTAGAGTTCATCTGTGCATGCATTTTGCAATGTTTCTGTGTCTTGGGTTTGTACTCCATGCGGTGTACATCTCATGGCTCTGTTCCTGTGCCCTGCGGTGCCTGTCCACTGCTGCTCTCAGCCCTGTTGGTGCTCTCTTTGCTGCTCTGGCTACTTTGTTATAGGCTGCTTGCTTCCCTGCTTTGTGGTGTTGCTGTTTCCCTTGCGTTATAGTGAGCTTTCTGGGTCATGTGCCAGTTCCAGGAGTGTTAGGGACCCCAGTCCGTTTTGGAAATATCTCTATGATCTCCCTTCCTTCCGTGGTATTAAGGAATCTAACTCCTCTGCACCTGCCTTTCAGCATTGAGTGTTTGGTGTGATTGTTTTGGCTATGGAGCTAATGCAATGTGCTATCTTTGTCCATTATCCAGGCTTTTCTGCAGGCCCAGCAGATCTGGGTAAAGGGACCCCTCTAGTTCCCCATAGTGTCTCTGGAATTCCTCTCCCCTTACCTCCCATAGTTTCTTCCCATAAGGTGTCTGCTAAATCCAATCACTTGCCCACATCAGCCCTCTGAATTGTTTTGACTAATTGCTCCAAATCCTTCAAGAATGCAAACAATGCCTTACTATTGCAAGCAGCATGGGCATGGAAATGGAAAAGTGCTAGAGCACTCAGAACTTGGGTACAGGAAGGAGGCTTTGATGAGTGATCGAATTCTGAGTTTGTGGATAGATCATTTGCTGCCAGTTCGGTTGGCTGGTCTCCCTGACCCTAAACCTGCCTCATTTCAAGTGCTGGTTCCTGACTGTAAGATAGGATCCCAGATGGATTTTGTGTTGGATCCCTCTGGATACATGAAAATTTTGTTGGATCCCCCACTCATTGACGATATTGCCAAGTATTTACAGCTGTGGGTTAGGTGCCCCCTTAGTAAGATGACTAGGAGTCAGCTTGGGGTGGAGTGCTTCTGAGCTATTGTCCTGGGAAAGGTATGTGAAATTAATTAAGTTGACCCTAAGATGCTGCAGTTTCTTGCTGGAATCAACTAGAGTCATAGTTACATAGTTACATAGCTGAAAAGAGACTTGCGTCCATCAAGTTCAGCCTACCTCACATTTGTTTTTTGCTGTTGATCCAAAAGAAGGCAAAAAAACCCAGTTTGAAGCACAATTTTGCAACAAGCTGGGAAAAAAATTCCTTCTTGACCCCAGAATGGCAGTCAGATTTATCCTTGGATCAAGCAGTTATTACCCTACATTGAAAGATTATATCCTTGAATATTTTGTTCTTGCAAGTATGCATCTAGTAGCCGTTTGAACATCCGTATGGACTCTGATAAAACCACTTCTTCAGGCAGAGAATTCCACATCCTGATTGTTCTTACAGTAAAAAAAAACCTTTCCTTTGCCTTAGATGAAATCTTCTTTCTTCCAGTCTAAACACATGGCCTCGTGTCCTATGTAAAGTCCGGTTTGTGAATAGATTTCCACACAATGGTTTGTATTGGCCCCGAATATATTTGTATAATGTTATCATATCCCTCTCAGGTGACGTTTTTCTAAACTAAATAGGTTTAAATTTGTTAACCTTTCTTCATAGCTGATATGTTCCATTCCTTTTATTAATTTTGTAGCCCGCCTCTGCACTTTTTCTAGTGCCATAATATCCTTCTTTAGAAGAGGTGCCCAAAATTGCACAGCATATTCAATCTTTGAAAGCCTGACAGGTTAGGTTATTGGAACTCTTTTGTCCTGACTAAGATATTCGATTTGGCAACTATTGTACCAACAGCTATTGCAGGGCAGAATGCATGAGGCTATCTGCCTAACAGGGAATATGAACACCTCTGTTTCCAGTGAAAAGGGAAACCCCAGTTGCCTTCTCCGAGCAAGACCAACATGTTGTCACTGCAGAGATGTTGGAATTGCAATAAAAGATGTCTGTAGAACCTGCTATGCTGTCTCCATGTGGGTACGCCACAATATGTTTCTGGTTCAGACAAAAGGGGGCAAGATGATGCCCATGATCACTTTTGCTCCTTTGAATTTTCTGGTATTTTATCTGCAGTTTAATATGGTGGGGATGCATAACCTTTGCTACCTGCTCCTCACCAGCATCTGGATGGTGAAAGTGGACATGAAGGATATGTCCCTTAATGTGCCTAATTTGGCTGAATCCAGTGACAACTTGTTATTCTTCTGGCGTGGTGGGAGACAGAGATTCACATGTCTGTCATCCAGTCTCTTGTTGGTACATTGATGCTTTACCAAGTTGCAGAGGCTAGTTATGGCATTGCTGTGTAGCAGGGATGTCCCCTTCATCATGTATTTGGAGAATACCTTCCTCATGTCACAGGATTTGGCTACCCACCAGCTACACCTGCAATGGACTACAGGACTCTTGTCCATTTAGGGTTTCTAATCAATTGGCACAAGTGTCAATTGGTTCCTGTGAGACAAATGGAGTTTCTGTCTTTAAAGGGACAATATAGTCACCAGAACAAATACAGTTTATTGTATTTGTTAAGGTGAGTATAATCATTACCTTCAGGAATTTTGCAGCAAACAATGTTTTTTTCAGATAAAATATAGTGTTTACATTACATCCTAGGGATACCTCCACTGGCCACTCCTCAGATGGCTGCTAGAGGTGCTTCCTGAGACAGTGCTGTACAGTGAGCAGCACTGCCATTCAATGTCTCCACCCTCTTCACGGAGATACTGAACTTTCCCAATAAAAAATGCATTGATTCAATGCATCTCCATGAGGAGATGCTGATTGGCCAAGGCTGTGCTTGAATTGTGCTGGTTCTGCCCCTGATATGCCTCCTTGACAGTTTCAGCCTATCCTATGGGAAATCATAGTGATTGGCTTTTGATCAACACTTCTGATGATGTCAGCCAAGCAGGCAGATCAGGGGCAGAGCCAGCAGCAGCAGCAGACTGGAGTAAAGGTATGATTATATTATATTTAGGAAGGGAAAAGGGGGACCAGGGAAACTAGGGTGGGGGAGGGGGCTAAAGGTTTTAGCACTATAGGGTCAGGAATACATGTTTGTGTTCCTGGCCCTATAGTGTTCTTCTTACTTGTTTTTTTTCAAGCAAATGATAATTCTAAGCACATTTGCCCAGTGTCAGCACTAACAGGCAGTGAGCAAATAGTTAAATAAACTTTGGCAATTCACGGGTAAATTATGTGGCAGCTGGCCAGCTCTTGCTAGCCAGCGGTCACATTAAAAATGTTTTAAACATAAATAAATAAATAAATAACATATGGGTATCAATAAGACCTCCATATTACCATAAAGGAGGCTTAAAAACCTACCAATGCTCCAACCTACCATGCAGCAGTCTCTGGGATTCCTCTTGCGCACCACACTTTTCAGTTTGCTGCATTACTTGTGTTTAGTGAATATAGAAGTAAAATAACAAGAAAATCCAGTGCAACTTCATGCAATGTTCAATTACTGGTTCCTAAAAATGTGTAACATTTCGATCTCCTCCAAAGACCTATATTACACCTGTGTATTTGGAGGAGGCCAAAATATTACCTGATTTTTTACACCAGTAAAAGAACACTGTATGAAGGAGTGTGGACCGTGTCGCTTGAAGAAAGTAGGTACATCTTGTTTGGAGCATTGCCTAGAGAATATCTAAGGGGCTCATTTACTAAACAGTGGATGGTAATGAATTGAAAAAACAAACAGCCAATACATTATGAAAGATAAATTGTGGAATTAATTTTTTTTACACCAGAACTTGTTTTGTCTCAATTTTTCAATTTGGTAGTGCACTACAATTGGGTTGTTATGGAAATACAAGTTTTGTGAAAGTCAAACAATAACATATAAAAGGCATATGCAGCAGCATAGCTTTGGCTCCGTGCCCAGACTATGTAATAACAATACAAAATATATCTAAATAAATATATATATATATATATAATCAATCACACACCATTAACGTTTTATAACATGTCAAAACTATTTTTTATTTTTTTCTAAGAATTGCAGTTTGTTTAAATAATGTTTTGTTATAGATGGAATTGATACAGAGTAATTCCAAATTAATACACACAACTGCTTTAAGCTTTGATATAATAATGAGAAGTAATTCGTGTAGGTGATGAATAAGGTTCACGTAAAGTTGTCATTAATCATCTCAGTAGCTTGCATTGGTAAATCAGATAGATTTAACGTATATTACTTCAACTGTTACTGGCTAAGGCTTGTGAAGGTTGGGTTCCAACGTAAATTCCTATGTCCTGAATCACCCTACTGATGCTGCTTGTTCAACTCTCATCATCCTAAGGAAGCCAAAGCGAATAGAATTTGGGGTCCAGTGATCTAATCAATTGCTACGTTCGAACTTGAGTTTTCGAAGTTTAATTATGCTGCTCCTATTTTTTTAATTAGTAGATACCGTGAATATTTTATTGTCTCATACAAAGATTGACTATGAGAAGGAGTCGTGCTGATGATGCTGCAGGAAAGAATGGTCCAGACAGCAACAGTATCCATGCAGTTAGTTCCACACCGAACGCTGCACAACGCCTGTGTTCTCAGAGGGATAGAGGCTGAATTCGTTCCTGCGCGGTGATTGGCTGATAGGATATACATCCAGATAGTTGTCCTCTACATCAGCAGCATCCTCTGCTGACCGCCCTGTGCTGCATCAGACGCTTATTTAAGACTCCTCTGTTTACGTCCACCAGCCAATTCACTTCTAACAAGATGGGACTCTGAACTAAAATACTCCGCCTTGCTTTTAAACCGCACCAGAGTTAATATGTAACATTGAAGTTTTCTACAACGTACTTCTCCTATTTTTGTTACTTTTATTCATTTATTTTTTGTATTTAGGTACTTTGCTGTAGTGGCAGTTATTGCACAGGAAAGTACATTCCTAGAGGATATTAAGTAAAATACTTTTTCTTTTTAATTGGGGATGGGTATGCTTACCCTGACAACTGACTTTTTTTAGCCGTTTTAAATAGCAATTCACACGTTTTTGGGGGAAAGGGAAACAGAAAATATGATTGTTCGGGATTTATTGACTGATTTGATGGTATCCTCAATCATCTAATTAATCGGTTCTCCATCATCTAATTAATCTTGGATAAGCAAGATTTTGACACCCGTGGAGTGCATTAAAATGGCACCCAGATGGACTTGGCTGCTGCACCCCTTATGTTTGTGTTGGCATTATACGTGTGTCAATTAATGCTAGTTACCTGCTATTCCCTGATTAGTGGAATCCTCGGTTGAAGAGGTCATCACCAAGAGAGCTGTATTAAGTGGATCTGTTTGGTTCCTTTAACTTGTTTGGCCACCCATCCCGGACACAGAGCAAATGCATTCCCTTAACATCACCTCTGAGCAGTTTGCCAGGCTACTGCAGGAGAACAATGTAACCAGGGAGCAGTTTATTGAGCTTTACGAGCTAAAGCCTCTCATCTACATCACAGAACTTCCTTTCCACACTAAAATCGCATTTGTGAGCATAAGTGTGCTGATCTTCGTGCTGGCTCTCTTTGGGAACTCTCTGGTCCTTTATGTCGTAACCAGGAGCAAAGCAATGAGAACAGTTACCAATATATTTATCTGCTCCTTGGCTCTGAGTGATCTGCTTATAGCTTTCTTCTGCATTCCCTTCACCATGCTGCAAAATATCTCATCTAACTGGCTAGGAGGTGAGTGTATGACATCAACATGGAAAATGGGATTTGTATGTTGCCCTAGAAAGTGGACAGGTAGGCAAAGTCAAAACAAACAGTTATAGTGTCAGTCCTAGCTGAGAAGGTTATGTTGGTTGGGGTACCCGGCTTCTGTTTGGATTGTTGATAATATTGTTTATTTTTTTAAAACTGGTTAAAAGAGTGTTAAAGGGTTAAAGTGTGAGGCAATCAACTTCTTGAGAAAAAAAAGTTACATTTAAAAACCAAACAGTAGCATCAAATTGATTTATATGTGAGTAGAAAATGCATATGTTCCAGTAGTTAAATGGTTACATTTTGTTTCGTAAGTTCAGTTAACATTTAAATAGCAGATAAGCTGTGACTAATAGTGATGACAGTTGCTATGAAAATCACATTCCCATCTGTATTTACTTAATGTGTCATTTTCCTGTATTCCTGATCAACTCTGAAAATAATTCTTTTTTTAACATGCGTTTTATAGCGTAATAATTATCATCTCCCAGTTTAACAGACTTAATATTTCACTGTATCAGTGTCTGTCAGAGCTATGATAGTGGTGGGTTCTTTTAACGTTTTCATTTCCTGAGCAAAATGCACATTTCTGGAGCTCTCAGACTGGCATGTTATTTTCTGGATCTATATGCTTTTATCCAGTGTCAAACTTGGAATCATGGATGCGTTGCTAAATGATTCTTGTAGAGGACACTAAAAGGTTTATTCATCAACACTTCAGCTGTTCTCAACTGTCAAGTGACTTCTGAAATGTTGTCCAAAATACCCAAACATGGGGAATATCTTAAAAGCTGCAGATTCATATTTTCCAAATCAGCTCTTATGATTTGCAAATTTGTATCCAGTTGCCAAAACACTACAAACAACTAATTGGCAAATTAACTATTAAACGTGTTATTCGTGGTTCATAACTTAATGTTTCATCAAGGTGTTTTCTGGTTGTGAAATTTGCATTTGTATCTATATATATATATATATATATATATATATATATATATTTATTAATTGCCATTCTGCCCTATAAGTGTTTTTATTTTTCAACTTTATTTACAATCTAAAATGTCTAATGGAAATTCATTTGGCTAATTTCCACCTTCTACTTAGGCTTATAAACACACTTCTTTTCCAGTTAATGCAGGCAGAAAGCAGCCTCTGCTGCCAGATTTGCTGCTCAGTAGGCTGCACAAAAGACAACATTTCCATTACCATGCCTCTGGAGATAATAGGTTTGCAATGTTGCCTGTTTTATCTAATTGGTTGAAAGAAAGCATTTGGCAGAACTTGCTCACTATGATGAGGTGAGAGTTTTTGAATGATTTAACTGTAAGGCATTCATTAAAAGGAAATAATATATACTATTTACAGACAATACTAGCTTAATAACTTAATTTTGTCAAATATGTTGCATAATTCAGAGCAGAACACCCCAGGGATATGCAATGCACCCATTAACCCATTAGATTGTGTACACCACAATTCTCAATATTTTAAAACTTCTGCATGTGGTTATCTGTACCTAGATAACCCTCTGTTATGTAACAAAGGTGTTTTCCTGGTACTATAGCTCCCTAAACCCCCCCCATCCCGCCACAGGAGTTAAAAACCCCTTCTGTCACTCACCTGATTCTAGTTCAGATGACCTTCAGTACTGTTGCAGGCTCTGCCTGTTCCTCATTTGCCAATATCACCGGGGTGTGGGCCCTAATGTGCATGCTTGGCTAGAGCTGTGCTCATATTCGGACTTCCCCTATAGGAAAGCATTGTATAATGCTTTCCTATGGCCTTTTGAATGACACTGGATGCCCTTGTGCCTAGCGTGAGGACGTCCAGCGTCAGTTAGATGACCAAAAGTCACCTAACCACCCGAAAGTGGTACCTGGTAGACAGCCACTAGAGGTGAAGTTAACCTCTAGTTTTATAAAAAACTGCAATAATTACCATTGCAGAGTTAAAAGACCAGGGACAGTGCACCTAGACAACTTCAATGCTATTCACAGCACAAATAGTCACATCATAACAGTGCCAATAATGTAATATACATTTGCAAATGTATGACCAGCTCTCTGTTTCAGTGTCATTATGTGTGCACTCTTGCATAGTTAAAATTGAATATACCAACTGAACATTAATATAACCTCATAGGTCATAATTCAGTATCATCTATATCAGGGTGCCCAAAAGTAGATCCCCAAATGTTGTAGAACTGCAGCTTCCAAAGTTCCATGATATTTTCTCATTCTAAAGGCATGTAAAGCACCCCGGACCTATATACTAATCATGCATGCATTAATTATACCTAGTCCTACCACCAAAACTGTAACTTGCACTGCTTGGTGTTTATTCAAATTCTATTTGATTATGATAAAATTCAACATTGTTAAAAACTTAACAAGTTATATGTGATTCCATAAGAAAAGTGATCTCAAATTACTATATAGTATTACATTTATAATGTTGCTGTTAGTGATATCACTTGCCCCCTTACACCTGAAACTCCTATGACAGTAAATAAATCCCAAGTTGGTGTCCTTATGATTACATTGAACTGTATTCTCTTTTTTTACTCATTCAATCACCTGCATGCACCCACAGGATATTTCCTAGATTCATCCAATCCTTACACCAGATGGCACAAAAAAAGCTGCACAGTCACTAGTGATTTTTTGGATGACTGGATAACTTTATTTGGTCTCTCTAGATGACTTGCCACTTTTCCAGCCATCCCTTGTATAATACTTTATAAACATTTATGCTCCACTAATTTATTTCACCCACCACAATCATCATCAAGTACCCTAGTTAGGACCTCCTAGCTGTTGATTCCACATTCACTCTAGATTTTAATCCTGGCCTAAACCTTTAGAACTATGTCTATTCTCGTTTCCAGGTACTTTCTTACTCACTTTAATATGTCTGTCCATAAATTTAATCCAGAGATGTTACAAACCATTTGTGAATCCTTAAAATAGCTGTTAGTGGTGGATTTACTCTTATTCTGTATAGTCTCTGGTCATTAACTAGATATGTTTACAGGGGTCTTGCTGAAAAACACTTGCACTTGTTTTTTTTTTTTTTTACCCATTAACCTTTTCATCCCTGTCTTTTAACCCCTGCTAATTTTCAATCTCCACCTCTGAATTTCTGTACCCTGCCTGGGAAATATGAATTGACCTGTCAGTTACCAGACTCTTCCCCACAGTCCTCAAATGTAAATTCTCAGTGAAAGCCAGCATATTCACATAGACTTAGCAATTACTAACATTTGCTTTACTTTTTAATTACAATACTCTATTACTATTTCACTTGACTCTAGCAGTAAAGGAGCCTTAAAGGAGCACTCTAATCACCATACAGCAGTGGTTATGTGTCCCTTTGGGCCCTGCTACTGTTAAGGGTTAAAATGTATTCAAATGGTTTCACACTTACATGTGTCCTTTGGGCACCAGCAGTTTGGCCCCTCTTCCCAGATATAGGTAAAGCAGAAGTTCATCTTTCACATAAGTGATTTAAGTTCCCTCCATCTTTGGACAAAGTTCATCAGCTGACACTCCTCAGCCAGTTAATTCTGTTCAAACTTACACAATTATTAAATTGTTCCAAAACAGTTTGACTCAATAGTATGACATCAATGTACTATAGAAGTTACAGTGTGTCCCTTTAACTATTGTAACTATCTTATTTCTCTAATGAATTGTACCTTACATTTTCCTTTTCCTTCAGGCCCTATACATGGGTAGTGATGTCGCGAACCCGAAATTTTCGGTTCGCGAACGGCGAACGCGAACTTCCGCAAATGTTCGCGAACCGGCGAACCGCCCGAAACGCCATTGACTTCAATGGGGAGGCGAATTTTAAAACACACAGGGACTCTTTCTGGCCACAATAGGGATGGAAAAGTTGTTTCAAGGGGACTAACACCTGGACTGTGGCATGCCGGAGGGGGATCCATGGCAAAACTCCCATGGAAAATTACACAGTTGATACAGAGTCTGGTTTTAATCCATAAAGGGCAGAAATCACCTAACATTCCTAAATCACAATCAATATGGATTGACACCTGACATATGACATGTTGACACCTTGACATATGGATTGACACCTGTCCTCAGAGCCCCTGATGCACACGGACACAGAGCAGAATAGAGACTGGTCCCCCTACATAGGGTCACTTGGCAGATATGGATTGACACCTGTCCTAAGGATCCCTGATACACACTGACACAGAGCAGAATAGGGACTGTTCCCCCTACATCGGGTCACTTGGCAGATATGGATTGACACCTTGTTACAAACTGCTATTTGTAACGGGCCCTTTAAATGGCAAATTGCCCTGCTTCCCTGGGTTGTGGAGAAGCCTATTTGCCAGCCTCCTCCCGCATGACTATGGCCCCTGGGAGATTGTGAAAATGTATGCACTTTTATTTGGTGTGTATGGCCCTTTAAGACTGTCGGTGGGCATATTGGGGCTTATGGACTCTTTATGTGACTGGTGCTGGCCCTTTAAACACCTTTTTTGGGACATCAGGAAGATTGGGACACTGCCCCTTTAAGGCCGTGTCCCCAGACTTG